ATCATCATCATCATCATCATCATCATCATCATCATCATCATCATCATGTAGCACATTGTAGCACCCCCCCTGGTGTGTGCAGGATCCTTGATGATCTGATGATTATCTTGTAGGTGCGGATCCAGTGCTGGAAGCAACGATGCCAAGGATCCAGTGTCGTCCCTCGCCGTTCTGCTGCAGCAGGGCGAATCGAAAGGAACAGCTCAGCTACGTACTACCCTTGGGCAGGGCACTGGGCTTGGTGGATGGCTGTGGGCTATTTTACCCAAACCTCCAAAACTAAGGGATCTTTGCATGTGACCGTACCGACTGTGTACATCCCTGCATACCACGCCGGCCCCGGCCGGGTATTCCCTGTGCGTCGCATGCGGAGCACGCGAGAACGAGTCTCCAAAACCAAGGCCAATGGACCTTGACTTGGATATGCTGTCCAGGCAGGGGATTCATCCAGTTCGGGAAAATAATCTTAAGCAAAGCCAGGTTGACCACCCTGACCCAGGGCCTGCCAGTCTGGTCAACCAGCTCTTGACCCACGCCTCGTCCAAACGGGCAGGTGGCTTTGCTGCCCTGACAGCGGCAGCGGCCGACGTGTTGCTGTTTCTGATTGCGTGCGTTTTGGGGCGCGGCGGGGTACAGTAGGTGGTTGGACTGCACAAGCTGCTATTTTGGACACTTTTGTAAAGGGCCCCGGGGTCTTTTATCTTGAGCCTCCTACACCAAGCTATATACAACAAGGATGGCAAATACAGCATGCAAATACTATACACCCATTCCGAAACTCTTCCTCCTGGTTCATGTGTGATATGTGTTCAAGGGTTCCCATGGGCTTGGCTACGAGCTACGAGCAAACAAACCCCAGGATTCCTCATCGTGATACTTGTTCACGTTGAGGGCCTCTGGCCTCGGGGACTTGATGGATTTTGAGACATTCATCATGACTCAACAAGAAACACCAAGGGTGCTGGATGTGTGGCTGGGGATCCCTCACATGGGTGCTGGATGCTGGGGGTCCCTGACCATGTCGTTTTCGAAGCGAGTGGTGTCACGCCGATTCTGCCGACACGCATAGACGGCCAGCGCCTGGGCGCCTCTAGGCGGGCAGCATAGAGACCCAGGGCCTGGAGGCGACCCCGGCCGAAACTGTAGTGACAGGCATTCTGCCAGAGCCAGGAGTGACGGAGGCCCAAGAAGACATGCAAAGATATATCAAGATATATATGAGGGAATCAAGATTATCTTGATTGTCTTGGATTATCTTGTAAACTTCTAAGAGTTGCGTTACAGTTTCTTTTTCTCCGGGGGTTCACCACCCGAGCAGGTGTGTTTGGGGTCCCGTGGAGTGTCCAATGCTTCGTTGGCAGGTTTGTTTTGGGGTCCTGTGATGATTTTGGGTAGGCGCCCAAGGACCCTGGGATGTGTTCGCACACGAAACCTGAGGAAAACAAAAACCACTCCGAAGGTCAACCTAACCAAACACTCCATGGGTCATAGGGTGAAACGGGAAGAAGATCACTCTTTGACCCACAGTCATCTGGTCTTCGTCATATCAGCATTTAACAGCCCCCTTTACAATGCCTTGGATTTGCTGTCCAGGAGCATTAACCACATGAACCAAATAAAACCGATTCCCCAGGTTAGGAGATTTACCCATATCCAAACACTCCATGGGACTGCCATAAATGCCTATACGTTGACCCCTTCTCAACCATCACTGATTGGCCGTCCTATGGCAGTGTTATTAGGTGTGTGGGAGTCTGGGAAAATCAGAAATCCGCCTGGTGGCACCTGCTCGATTCCCTCAGAAAAGCAGCAGCTCACCAGCTGCCACTCGCGGTTTCGACGAAGATAGATGGTTCCAAGGGGGCAGCAATGAGTGAGCTCAAAGGATTTCTGACCAAGATGGCTCACAAGCAAGGTGCTTTGGGGAATTGGTGATAGGGTTTCCTATATTTCCTAGGGCTCCAACCACCTCCTCAGAAGGTGGTTGGGGTGAGTTTGGAGGCCTTCTGGAGCTGCACCTTCCTGCCTGTCTGGAGACCATATCACTATAGTGGGATGGGTCGTCAAGCTAAGTGAACCCGATGTCGGAAGCAGCTGGCTAGGAATACCTATCCTAATACCTGTGGATGATGATGGTTAGTGACAGGCCTTGTTCAAAACATAGTGCTTTGCTTGTTTACTGACTGTTCTGGTTAGAGGATAAACCCAAGGAATACCAGTATTGTCTTTGGCTGGCACCCATTTAAGATCTTCTGAGTACGTTCCGGTCAGACCGATCACAAAGATCCATTCTGAATTGCAGTTGATGGGCCCCCCAAAGGGGTCGGGGTCCTCACCACACGAAACCTCTCATATGCGTCACAGGCCACGGAAGCTTGAGACTCCGTCGCACGCAAGGCAGGCTCCTGGCCCGGCATTCGAGGCACAGGGCGCTTCCGGGCGCAGGCCACAAGGGTCGAGCGCATCTACGGTGATTGGCCCAGCATCCCTGGAAAGGAAGCGGCCTTGGAGCGAACGTTCGCTCCTGTTCGTCATCAATTTGGTGGGGAAACCCATCCCCCCAAGACAAAAAATTGGTTAGAGAGGCTTGAACCTTCTGCTATGATGTAATTAGCAGGCTACCATGAAAAGGGATCTGGCCAATTCAATCACATTCCCTCCCCTAAAAGAACAAATGCAACCAGAAAACCACACGCATCCACCATTCGCAGCCACCCTCCGGCTCCGAATGCACGGTGTTTTCCATCCCCCCGACGCATGCGCACGCGCGTACGCATGCATCAAGGACCAGGCCAGCACAATCGCTTCCACCAAGGATGGCAGCTCCTGAGGAACGCTGTGTGGCCCCATGGCAGGAAGCCTTTGGCTCGTGCCTGTCACATGATATTCCACTGGACCACTGGGTTTGTCCTGGAAAGATGACGGGGGAGTTCCTCCGGGAGTGTTACTGTGATTGCGAAAAGAGGACGAAAGAACTGGCGCCAAGCATGCAATCTCTGAGTTCGAGGCACGATCTTGGTGTTTTTATCAATAGGGAGACCAGTGGGTGGTGGTTTATGTTCCTGCTTGCATTTTTTTGAGAGGTCTCCCTATTAAAAAGAAATCTTCTGGGTTTCTGCTGCATTCTGCCCAACTGTCAATGATGCCGATGGCCGCAGTTCGTGCCATACTTTCCAGCATCTTCCAGCTGGCGGCCCATGAGGGACAGAGCTGCACCCCAAAAAGCACACTCTCGAGCTCAGTTTTGACCAGAAAAGATGAAAGAAACTGTTGAGCCACCAGAAAAACAGCAGGCAGCTGAGCCAGCTGCTGAGCCACTGCAGCCCCACCTCGGCTAGCGGCTCCTCCAAACACAGCGGTTGCTGTCATTTAGCCAATCTCGCAACAATGTTGTTGATTTCACAACTTGTAGCCACATTGGCGCCAACGAATGTTCAAGTGTAAGTGTGGTTGTAGCCGCCCTGGCCGCACAAAAAAAGGCATACACAAATGTGATTGTAGCAATCCTGGCCTCAAAAAGTCCTACACACATGTGATTGTTGCCACCCTGGCCGACCCTGGCCTCAAGACAAGTTGCAGGCTCAATATTTTCCTTTAAGTGTACACCTTGCTTCACCAACTCGTTGCTCACACACACAGCACGTGCGATTGTGAAGCCTTTTAATAAAGGAGCCAATGCCTGGTCCTTGGTCACCAGCTCCACAAAGATGCAAGCTGAGAAGTAATACCATGGATTTCCACCACACCAGAGCTCCTTGCACGTTTTAAGCGATCTGCTCGGGTGAGCAGCTGGCTGCTTGTCCAAGACAGGTGCGCTTGAGTACTTGATGGTCCAAAAGTAGAGGGCATCGCCATAACACCTGCCCTCTGGCATTCAAATCTCATCACCGCACCATGCAAGCCAGACATGGCTGAAACAGACATAGACCAGCAGCCTTCCAGGCAGCTGTGGGGTACAGTAACAAAAGCTCGGGCCACATGTAAGTAAACAAAGCAAAGAGTTATATGAGTTATATATATATGTGTGTGTGTGTAAATGAAGCCAAAAAAGACTACAAACAAAACACGTGTAGCCACTCAACCCCATGTTGATCCAAAGCTTCAACATTTTGCAGCTGGCAGCTTGGCAGGTTTGGGTCTAAATTTGCAAGCCAGGCTTTTGACAAAGCTGATGCATCATGCGCCCAACACCTCAAGCGCAGCTATGCTATTCCTTATTTTGCCTTTTGGCTGAAGGTTCTGCTTCTTATGTTTCTCCAATGGTTCAGGATTGGTGAGCATCATGGCCAGTGCACCCATGTGTCCAACCCGTTTGAAGCAAACGGTGCCCTCATCCACATTCCGGCATAGCCAACATCGCGCCAGGACACCTGAGCACTCACCATCATCAAACATCTTTGGTGGCTTTGGGGGCAAGATGGCCTACTTCTTGCCATCTTTCATGACTTGGCCATAGGTGGTTGTTTTGGTTTCCTCCGGCACAATGATCAAAGTTTTTCTTGAAGGGCTTGTGCGCATACATAGTATTGAACCTTCAGCACAAAGTCACCATCCAGGTCTTGGCCTAGGGCACAGAATGTTGAACTTGAAACGGCATTTGTAAACAACAGCTTGTATTGAACAGAAAATGAACCCTCTTATTGAACAGAAAACCCTCTCCAGCTCAACCTCGCACTGCGCACTGGGGAAAAGGTTCTGCGTCAAATCGTTAGGCAACAGTTGCGGCGCTTTGGCTTTGGTGGGCTTAGCCTCTTCTGCGCCTTCCAACCTCATAGTCTCTGTGGAATTCTTGAACACTAAATGACTTAGCAGGAGGTTAAAGAGGTAAGCTACAGGAGGTTATACATGAGTTGAATGGACACCTCAAGTTGCAAAACCCTTTGCATAAATTTTTGCAAGGTTAAGGGGCTTACTAAGTCGGTCATCTGCAGCCCGTGCCCCTCTCTGCCCTGCTCCCCTACGAAAAACTGAGGCCAACCAGCAAGCTGGTCATAAGGTGTTTGGATCTGGTGAAAGTTAAACAAAACACCGTTAAAAACAACTCTTTATCCTTCATGAACGATCACCCATAAAATCATTAATTCCCAATATTATTATCTATGCTTCATTGTCGCATTCCTTGTAAGAAAACACATGCCTAGTGCTTCCTGGAAGGGTGTCCAATCGAGACCTATAAGGCGTCCAATACATAAGTAGTCTTTACGGGTCGTCAAAGTCGTCCAGCCCGGTGACCCTCTTGGAAGCAACTGGTATATTGATATATATATATATATATGTTGTTGCTTGTTTCTTCTCAATTCTGACATAGCCCTCCAAAAGCTCCTGTGGTGGAACGGATGCTTGACCATGGTGTCATCGCATGCTTGGGACAAGACATCGAATCTATCCCTGACCGTCGGATTCTCAAGGCCCCACCACAGGGACGAGTTCGGGCGCTCCTCCTCCATGGCAGAGCCGAGAAAGTCTTGGCGCAAAAAGAGAAGTTCGATCAACGCCTGAAAAGCACGGGCAACTAGGGCCAACAAAAGTTAAGTATGAAGAACCTCTCGACAAACCCACAAGCTTGCTTGCGAAGATTTGGGCCATTCCCTTACTCGAAAAACCTCGCACGACAATCTGATTTCCCACACAAAGAAACCGTTTGGATTCGTCAATGCATCCATAGATAGAGCATTTGTTTATCCATGGGGTGATTTACCTCTCTCTTCGCTGCTTTATCTTCACGTGGGTTTGTTTGGGTTTGTTCTTCCAAAAAGGTTTGTTCATCCTGTTCCTGATTTGCGCTTCCAGGCTGCTGAATTGGACACGCTTTGGGACCTTGTCGTCCTTCTTCTTTACATGGCTGCGGGTTGAAACAAGGATACCTTGGTTGACCTACCGACGTGACGCATCGTTCGCTAGATGGTGTTGGGCGTGGATGGGGTTGTCCCCAGAGAGTTTACTTAAGAGAATCGCCCATAGAGTGGGAAAGCCGTGGGACGCCAATCCCCCACAGCTAAGGTTTTATCCACTGACTTTGTAGGACAACCTCATTCCCACGCTCTGGTCCCGTGGAAAGAACCCCGGCAAGAAGCTGCTGTGCAACATACTTCAAGAACCCAAAAGTTTACGCTTCTTACTCTGTTCCAACATGACATTTGCTGTCTACAGCGGATCGGATTGACACGTCCCTTTTGCCTGGCAGGTACAGCGCGGTCAGATTTCCACACCCGTTTAAGTCTATAATACGTATAAAGCTTTCAGGTGTGGAAATCTGACCGCAACTTATTAGGTGTCGCCATGTTGCACGTAGGATTCTACGGGGAAAGGGTTTGTCCCGTTTTAGAAGTCAAGAAGCGCAACTTTCGGCACCCCAGTGTACACGCTAACAGAGCGGATTCATCTGGGGCGGCTAGTCCAAAGGTGGAATGGATCATGTTTGGGATCAAATGAAGAAACCCCAACAAACCCAGGTCATGCGATCCTGTGGATTTTTGGATCTGGGGTCTCCTGCCAAGGCTGCTGTGGCAACATCCTCCTGCCAGCACTCTCGGTTCAATAACGCTCTCAGGGCCCGTTCTTCCATTAGAGACGCTCTCAACTGCGGAGCCCTGCGTGCGGGAGCTTATACAAAGGACCGAGCAACTTCCCAGCAGCAGGGTACTACCCTGAATCTTCCTCTCGAAAGATTTGGCTCGTGGAAAATGAACTTCCTGTCCAACATGTCATAGCGTGTGATCATGTCACAGAGCTCTGCTACATAAAATCTACAGGACATTTGCCTTCCCGACCACATATATATATATATAGAGTAGACCAAAAGGTGGAAAGGCCGTACAACCCTTGCAATTCGTTGCATCTCAGTCACGCAAGTTCGAGTAATTACAAGGAACACATCTTTCCCGGCTGTCCCTGGAGAGACACTTCTGCAGTTGTTGCGATGGCCTTAGCCGGTGACCCCGCTCGGCTCGACGTCTCTTTATTTGCTTCCAAGCTTGGGAAAACACCGGCCACAAGGCAAGCGCAAGGGCTCCAAGAGCGAACATCTAAGATGCATCACATGGTGGTGATGTCTCAATTTGCACGATGTATCATGTAAAAAACATACAGACCAAGTGACCTCCAGCCAAAAACCTCTCTAAAAATGCACCACCCATGTGTTTCACGATGGACTGTGTTCGATTTTGCGGGGGTTCCGGGCTTCCAGGTGGCGAAACAAAACTGACTGGTGCTTAGTAGAGAATGAGGGAATGAGCCCCCAATAAAGATTCCTTTGGATCCATTCCCTCATTCCCTACTAAGCACCAGTCAACCTGCTTGGGTGTCCCTGGGTTTCCGTTCGTGCTGGCAGGCGCGTCTGGGTTGTTCAGCTGTTGAACATGATCTATAGAGAGTGGACCCCTTCTCTTATCACCTCCCATGCATCAACAACGAACACCTTGCCATCCACCTTCCATAAGTAGGACAACAGTTCCCAATTTCAGGCTGGAATTCTACCCATGGGAAGCGGCGTCGTGATCTCCGAGGGGCAGCCCGGAGTTTAATCAAACTTTCCGCCTCCAGCTTCTTCAATTTGCCCTTTTTTGGAGTCCCTAACTAACCTTTTACAATCCTCAAACCAACAGTCACTCTGAAGAACCAGGGTGCTTAGTGGGGTGAACACAAAGGTTGGGTAGGTGATGAACAGACTTCGGCAGGTATGCAGACTTCTGCATCTTTGATGGCTAGGACCTGAGATGTTTGTCTAGGACCTGAGCTGTTCGTCCTCAAGCCGTGTTGTCGTTCTTATCAATGGCCATAGCTTTCATGTCTCGGGAAGACGAGGCCTGAGATGAGTCAGTCGGGTACCTCACAGTCCTTTTCAGCATCCCAAGCTCACAAGACCTGACGTCCCATGATAAAAGCACCCAGCACCCCCGCAGGAAAAAAGGCACACGGCACCCGTCTGAAAACTCAAGTGGACCCGGGTTATCAATGGCACCCTGAGTCGGAGAGCTTTCCTCTACACATCTCTAGACTACTAGACCAGTGGAAAAAAAACGGGGTCCATGGGAGCGTCTTGAGCTCTTGTCCTCCTCTTGTCCTGCTGTTGGCTTCCTCGTCCTGCTGTTGGCTTCCTCTTGTCCTGCTGTTGTCCTCCTCTTGTCTCCCGAGTTTTCAAATCTCCGTTTCATTGGCCTTCTGAGGACACCGGCTGCAGCAAAGACAAGACTTGATGACAGTCCTGCCCGCCATACCCTGCCCGCCAGTGGACTGACTCCTCAGTTTTGCTGGAAGAGGAAGGTTAACCTTTTTGTCAACCTGTTCATGTCCATGCTGAGTGGGAAAGCCACTTCCCACAAAAGGTTGAAGGTTATCCACTGAAGCTGTGGCTCAACATCCAATGCCACTCAGCCAGCTCAGTCACATCTTGGAATGTTTGCCAACTATATAGAGAGCCTTGACCCAAAGCCGCAAGTATGTCTGTAGAAATTTTCATAGTTGACAGGGTGTCCCCCAAAGCAGTGGCACTCAAAGATTAGAAGTTCAACACCACGAGAAAAAAAACACATGTGGCCATACAGGCCCCTATACCTTGCTCAAACTTGTGAACATGTCCTTTGCTTTCTTCTATGGTTTTCAGGAAGGCCCAGTAAGATGGCTCAACTCAATATTCCAGGGCCACTTACTTTCCCAAGAGAGTAAGGCCCCTCACTTCTGCCGGTTTGGTCTCCGAAGTCTACTTTTGGGCCCTTCAGACCCCGCTGTCCCCCGCGCAAGCTGCGCGGTCCCCGCACCTGCACCAGCTCGGCGCAAAGATCCTGCCGGCGGCTGCGGAGCGAGCGGCGGAGCTGGCGTCGTGGTCATCGGCCGGGAGCCAAAAGGCCTTTCTTGGCATTTTCCATTCATAGCTTTTTCCTTTCCTGTTGATGTGTAGAATGTCGTAGATTCATTGTCATTCATTCCGGGCTGTTCTTCCACTTAAATTAAAGGTGATACCACCATTTGACTACAACAACAATATACCAAAGGCGTGTCCGTGAAGCACAAATCTGTTTGGTTGCTCGCCTGAACATGGTGTGAACGGTCCGATAAACAGGTCAATCGAGCATGGTTCAGCCACTGCCGTCAATCCAACAACGGACAATGACCATGGACTCCTCCTCTGGCGGCAGCCTTAGTTGATTGGACCGACGCTTCTGTGCAGGAGCTACTGATGGACTATACAATTCCTGATGGTTCCCACGCGTCCTAGGCGCGACAATCTGTTCATTAACCACAAAACTCATTGCTCAACAAGAATGGACCCTTTTCAGCTTACTTGGCCGTACTTGGCCGTAAAACGCAACTGTTCTGTCCAAACAAGCTTCACGTGCGCTCGTTCATGCTTCTTCGTTCATGTCTCTGGCGTTCACAGGAGTCAGATGGAGTCGGTCCTAAGTTCCAGGGTTTCCAAAGAAGAAAGCTGTGGTCACAGTTGTTGGCAAAGCCAAAGCTTTTAAGCTTTTAGTGGTCACAGTTGTGGTCACAAGAAAGCTTTTAAGCTCGCGACAAGTCCAAAAGCCTCTTGAGAATCGCCAAAGTTTGGCAAAGCTCTTCGGAACCTCAGCGGCGTTTTCAGCCACTGCGTGGTAAGCAAGCTTTCCCACATGGCTTACTTCGCAAGCCATACTTTTTCGTGGCCCCCAACCAAAGTATAATTAAAGGAATGGTGGCCAAACATCAGGACATAAAAACTGACTGGGAATGAGCCCCCAGATTCCTTTGGATTCATTCCCTCATTGACTCATTCCCTACTAAGCACCAGTCAGAAAAGGTGAGGGGGGAAGCGTTTGGGTATGTGGCTGGGGGCGAACCACTCCCCATCTCTCTGTAAGCAGTGAAGAGCGGATGGCAATCCAACAGCTGCCGGGTGAGCATTGGAGTCACCCCGGCTGCGGATATCAAGACACCCCAAAATCGTGCGGATGTCAAGATCAGTGCTTGTTCTCATGACCCATGACCCTCAACATACCATGTAAACAAATTGGACAAACACATATATAAAACATTTGCATAACATTTGCATGTCGTGCACCAGGCCCCCCTAAGTTGTGTCTAATTCTAGCTCCTTAGAGGTGATTCGGGGTATCCAGGAATCACCCCATGGCTTGGGGGCCCTGGTATATGACCTTGTCTGATGCCAATGATCCTTCCAAGCGGTCATGATCTTCCATTTCTGCCGTCTCGAAAATCGGCCCAGCCCACTTGGGTCTCCCAGGGCCCAGTGGATGATGGATGATGCTGGTAAGGCCTTTCCCCCCGGGCCTTTCTCTAAAACAGTGACAATCTGTCAATCATCGGTTGAACTGACTGGTCATGGGATAGAACCTTACTGAACTGAGATCTGTCGATGTACCATGATGGCACTTCCTTGCAGGTCAGTCTACACCGGGCGGCCCACCCAAGCTGTTCCACCATTCCAAGAGAGGCTGAAAAGCCCTAATTGTAGATAGCCCATCCCATATGTACCCATATGTATCATTATGTATCCAGGGTCCTGCTGGTCTCCCAGGGTCCTGGTTCAGGTCTCTCAACCTCTCTTGGTCTTTTTCACGCCCCCAATTCAGCTCCGAAACCCCACGCATCGGCCTCCCACCGGATGAGACCGCTCGCGAGCGAATGAAGGGGTTTGCCGTTGAACGGAGTGATTGATGGGTCAAAAAGGGTTCCAGAGATTCTGGAAAGCTTGCTTTTAGTACAGTATATCCATACTCACCATTTTAAGCGATTGGATGTTGCATGGAAAGAAGATGTGTTGGTGCATGCTGCAGCCAAACATGTCGCACGTGCGAGTGCTGGTTCTGGATTCGTTGGAGGTCCCAAAGCTAGACTGATTGCATAGTTGATCATGAGCATCCAGGTCTCCTAGTCTATCAGTATAGGACATGTTTGTCCTCCTCAACCTTCGACCTTGGACCTCTGACGAATTCTGAGGATATGTGTTGTTCATTGTTTTTCTGATCCTTTGGCTGTGCCACTTTGATCCACGAAGCTGTGCCACTTTGATCCACGAAGCACCACCTCCGGATCCATTTCACTTCTACCGGCTTGGGCCCAACTTGCTCTGCCCCCTCCTTTTCTTGGCCTCCTGTTCAGCCCATCCACCCTGACGCGGTTCGGGGGGGTCCTGCATGTTCCTTGCCAACATCTTTCTTTCTTCCATCTGTGATGTAGACTCTTGATTAATACACCCCCCAATATGAAGAGGTGGGTGGGTTTATTAATCAAGAGAGGTAGCCAGTGACCTTATAGGACCCGTCACCTGAGTTACCAGACTGGGATAGTCTATAGGGTTCTTCAACCTCTGTTGGTAGGCTCTTGCGTCTTACGACCCCAAACCCAGCGGTGGGGGGGTCTTTTTTGTTGCGCTGCGCTGCCTTCCCCCCCCCTCCGCTGCGCTGCCGTGCTCCACGGCGGGTCCGCTGCGCCTCCTTGTCAGGCCTGCAGGGCTGAGGGAACAGAGACGTGAGCGGAAGGGGAATGACCACATTCGAAGGTGCCGCACAAGTGCCTACTTACTAAGGATCACATGACAAAACACAATCCATTTGAGCCAAACCTATGTTTCTTTTTTATTCTCTCTCTCTCTCTCCCCCCTCTCGTATTTTAAAAACGTATATAATATTGAAACTGTGTTGAACATCTGGGCCATGATGTTAATCACCCCACTTTGATGATCTGAGCTGCCATCGCGTGCACCTGAAGCTCCAAACCTGCCATTGCCGGGCGCCCCGGCACCGAACCTGCGGCACTGCAGGCCTTGAGTGGCACTGGCAAACATCAAACAAAATACGGGCAAACATGTCTGAAAAAAGGCGAAAGCTCCAATGAACTGCAATATTCATCACACTGCTGTTTGGAAATGGAAAAAGCACCTGACGAACACATCACATGGAAATGGAAAAGCACCTGTTTGTAGATGAGAATGGTCATCCCAATGGCTATTGTCCATGTCCATGGTAGTGAGTCGGAGTGCAGAACAAAATAAGTGCAAAACTAAAAAAACGGCGAAAGCTCTAAACAGTCCGACCGGATGGTCGGACCAAGCGCTGGCTGCGGCTCTCCACTCTGGCAGGGCCCCCAAACTCGCAGCAGAAAGGGCGACGTGGCCGCCAAGCACTTCCGCGCCTCTCGTGTGCGGCTGGGACTTTCTTTGGGCGCTGGCTGTGGGTTGGGGGCCACAAGTGGTGCCGAGTGAGGCGGTCCAAATGCATTCAAGATGAAGATGTTTCAATATCCCGAAGAGGAAGACAAAAGCGCCCGGGGGCTCCTGGAGTCTAAATGGAACTGCCACGTGATGGTGCCTGAGGTCGTACAGTCGTACATTTCATGGTTCATTTGGCTGACGGCAGCTTGAAGGCAGTGGTGACACATGGTGACACATGTTTTCGGATGTTTCACTTGGCATCCTTTGGATGGAACACCCACCACGCAGTGGGGGCCGTTCCAACGCCGTCGAAACGGGGTTGGGCACCTCCTGAAGCTCGGAGTCCTCTCCGGTCAGGAGCACCGTCAGAAGTCCTAAGGCCTTGGAGAGGAGCACTGTTGGAATGCCCTAGGATTCAAACAACCATTGTTCTAATGGTTTTTGCCAAAGAACCATTGTTTTACTCAGGATTTTTACACTACACCACCAGCTCAACCGTTCTTTTAATATGTTTAATGGTGATTGAAGGCTAGGGAATGCTTGGAAGCATGGGTGCTCGGAATGGAGAGGATGCCCCCTTAGCACTGGGATTCCAATTCTGAATTGAAGGCGGAGAGACTGGGCATATCCGAAGTCTTGAAGGCTACACCTTACAAACCCTACTTAGGGCTCCAACCACCTCCTGAGAAGGTGGTTGGGGTGGGTTTGGGGGGTCTAACCACCTTCTGAGGCTATGGTTGAGTTGAGCCCTAGG